CCAAGTCTAGACAATTTGAGGCCCAAAAACTTGTATGTACTCTTCTGGAGTATCGTTTAAGGCTGGACATTCATTTTTTCAAAGAATAAAGTGCAGCTTTTTACGCAGGTGAGTGGTTTATGCGACTTGCCAACGGAAGAATGCTGCCTTAAGACTTATAATGATTATAATTCGAATACCAGTAGTATAATTGATAGCGGTAATATCTTGCAAAATTATATCATCATTATTAAATATTTTTTGGTTGAATGCAGTTTACCCGGAAATTAAAACTAATGTTTTACTGGCCGATGGAAAAGTATGAAGTAAGAAAATTGAAGAACAGTTTAAATATTAAAGTTATGTTATACTGTATAAATTGTATAAATTTATTATAAATTTAATAAGTTACAGCAATTATAATTTAATCTTTGAATTGTTGCGTGTGTTAATATATGCGCATGTACATATGTTGCATACGAATGCAGGTACACATAGTCACATGTTATTGTGTACAAATAGACACACATGAGTGCACATATCAGGCCATATGTGTGTATATTGTCACATATGTGTATGTATATATAGTCACGTGTGTGTGTGTTTGTGTGTACATTTAGGCACATGCGTATATATGTATGTAGCCACTTGTGCGCATATAGTTACAGGTGCGTATGTACAGTACATCACTAACAACGCATATCCAAAAATAAAGCTATAGCAAGCATTTTCGAAAACCGTTTCCTGTCAGCTTTCTCTGTTGACGTGTCGCAAATAGGACAAAAAGTTAAGTGACAGTGAACAATCAACTCCAACAGGTAGTTTAAACGGTCAGTCATCCTCACCAACAATCAATCAAACACATGGAAGTTCGCCCACTTTAAGTCAGTCAACTCACTCTGGAAAACAAGTCTGTAAGTCAACAAGTTGACCTTCAGTTAGCATTGGGCCATTCATTTGGACACTTCAGTCGGTAAGGCAGTCGAAGGCTCAGTTGATGTCCGTTCGAACGGCATATTGATCAGTCGTGGAGGTGTTTTTCTGGTAATAATATTTGTGATAGGTAAGTGAAGTTTTTATCAAGATGAACTTCTGGTCATCCATTTCGTAAGTATGCAGATAATCAGCTCTTCTTCTTACCAGTCAGTCAGTCAGTCAACAGCCAGCCAGTCAGTCAACAGCCAGACAGTCAGTCAATAGTCAGTCAGTCAGTCGTTCGATACTTTTTGGAGTACGAGTCCCTCCAAATCAGGAGACAGATAAGTATTCAAACCACTCACTCGAAAACCAAGTCAAACCAATTAAGAAGTCGGTAAGTTTGTCTGTCAGGCAAAAAATGAAAGGAAATCCTTCAGCAAGTATCAGTTAACTTGCGATAAACCAGTTACGACAAGTGATTTATTGAGTCAGGGCTGTATGCAAGTAAGCATGTTACTAAGTAACTCACACAGTCTGGGGGAACTTATGAATCAGTATATTATTCCAAGCCGATTTTTATTTTACGTTCAGATAGTCAGATTCGTCTCAGAGAGTCAAGTCACTGGAAATTTATCATCGAATACTCAATTTCAGTTGACTTAATTCAAAATAAGCAACGAATGGAAATGCATTTACCATCTACTAAGTCCTCAGAAAGGTTTTAGCTACATAAATATAGATTAGCAATAACTTAAAGTTTATATATATCATTAGTCCTTTTAGAGAAACGTTGACACGTTTTTCTATTAGAAAAATGATCCCTGAAAACGCTGGCATTTAGTGAACAATGAAAAAACAGAATTGAGATGGTTGGCAGCATTGATCAATACCTTCACAGGTTAGGAGTTTTTAATTAAATGCTGGAAAAGATGGAATTTCCAGCCGGATCTTCGTCATAGACATTTTTAATACAAACAAAATTCTCACCACAATTGCTATAGTTCTGAAATTTAAAAACCGGCATGAAGCCTATGGCTGAAGGAAAAACAATATTCACATATAAAGTTTCTTTAAAAAAATAACATAAAAAGAAAAGTATTACAAGATCGTGTGGTTGACAATTTATATGACATGGGGCGTGGAGCACTAATTTCCTATGTGCTTAGAGGGAGGCGGGGGAAGTATACAGTAGATGGAAGTATACCTCAGGGGGAGGTATACTTCCTGTCTCTTGAGATCATCCCTACTGGGCCACCCGATATCTCAGTGGAAGAGCTTCCGCCTCTCACCGAGGGGTCGGCGGCTCGAGTCTCCTAGAACCTAAGCCAAAGCGAACAACAACAGGATTTATGTTCGCAACAAAAGCGCTACCGCTCACAGGTTGAGTATAGGGTTCACAATAAACTAACCACCTCCGGCGGCAATAAATAAAAAACGAGTTACAAAACACGTTAAGTTTCTTGGGACCGGGTAGCCGTAGTAGGCCAATATATGCTATCAGGCGACGGGTCATTAGCTATGGTTAGATAAGACTTTTCCTAACTGACGGGTCTTTTACTAAATATTAACGCCTAGGGTTGTAATTGCCAGCTCTGTCATTAATATGTGTCTTCCATCTCAAACTTGTTCACAGTAACGGAACATATCAGAATTTATATATTCAAACAATAAGCCACAATAACGTAGTTCTAAAATAAGGCAAGCAGATTCTAATCCTTAAGACATGTTTCCTCCGCTTCTTTTTAGTTTCCTTTTTTCCACTATCCACACATATCTTTCTTTCCCCATGAGATGGTGCTTATTTCCCCACACATCCACGACAATTCCACCACTTACCCAGCCAGTCTCGCTACTTTGTAGATAATTTCGCCACATTTCAGCGAACCTCGTCACATCCCAAACAAACTCGCCACATTCCAGTCAAACTCGCCAGATTTATCGCATGTTAACAACTGTTTTCCTGCTCGTGTCACTTGTTTTTTTAAATCTCTTTGCCCACGTATTATTCTTGCGTGCATGTCTTATAGCTTATATTGATACTCCTGCAAGTATATATATATATATACAAGACCGTGTGGTTGACAATTTATATATATATATATATATATATATATATATATATATATATATATATATATATATATATATATATATATATATATATATATATATATATATATATGTCGTACCTAGTAGCCAGAACGCACTTCTATGCCTACTAAGCAAGGCCCGATTTGCCTAATAAGCCCAGTTTTCATGAATTAATGTTTTTTCGACTACCTAACCTACCTAACCTAACCTAACCTAACTTTTTCTGCTACCAAACCTAACCTAACCTATAAAGATAGGTTAGGTTAGGTTAGGTAGGGTTCGTTAGGTTCAGTCATATATCTACGTTAATTTTAACTCCAATAAAAAAAAATTTACCTCATACATAATGAAATGGGTAACTTTATCATTTCATAAGAAAAAAATTAGAAAAGATATATTAATTCAGGAAAACTTGGCTTATTAGGCAAACCGGGCCTTGAATAGTAGGCATAGAAGTGCGTTCTGGCTACTAGGTACGACATATATATATATATATATATATATATATATATATATATATATATATTTGTATCCAGGACCCTTGTTCAATCCTCGTCCTTCTCCAATAATTTTCTCAAATTTAGTTCAGTTCCAAGCTTCCAACACCTGGTCTATGGTGTAATATGTACTAAATCGATACTCCACAAAATAACATTTGGTGCTAAGTTCCCTGTCTCATAATCTAAGTTGCAAATAATGTTTGATATTAAAGTTTTATCCCTAAAATCTAAACTCAAGACAATTTTCGCCTTTTAGAATATGGTTTAATAGGCTTCTAATGCTTGGTAACGCGCTAGATTTTTTCTCACTTTCCTGTCAAGGACGCAGACTTTAATATACAGTCCAGAATTAGTTTGTTATTCACAAAATCTTGCGTAGTCCAGAACTAAGCTCTCATTCACATAAACTACACTATCTAAGCTTGTATCTTTAGTACCTAGTCCAGCACTCTTCTCCTGTCCTAAATAGCTTTCTCTGTCCAGTGCTACTATCTTAACTCTGATGTCCGAACCTCCATGATTGGGAATATTGTGGAATATTCGAGTCAATGAAGCCAGACTCCAGTGCTCAACTCTCCACCTTCTGTAAGTCCACCAACGCCCAGTAAGGTGAGTATTGCTGTCCTATTTTGACTCTTTATAAAGAAAAAATTCCTCACAACTTGCACTGGGACAAAAAGATTTATATCATGCATTTAGTAAAAAATAATATATTTCTTCCATGTCTATCCTTTTTTAACGATGAATTGTTTTAATGAATGATTTTTTTTTTAATTTCTAGTATTTATAAATTCTGATATACATATATTTTTCTTTTAAGTCGGTTTCATAGTTGTGCTCCACAAGTCAGGAGAGAAAAGAATTTTTTTCATTTTTAATAATTATCAAATCTCTTGAAACTTTCATGTTAAGAGCGATTTGTATACGTGATATTCATTATTTTTTTTAGCCCTTTTTTCAAAATTATCATACAAGTATGGTTTTTTAACGTAAACTAAATGCAAATCACTTTCTATTTATTTTAAACGAAAAGAAAAAAAAACACCGAGACTGGAATCTAGAGTTATCTAGTGTGAGTGTCTGGATTCTAGTGTTCTCTGGCGTGGGAAGATTAGATTCTTGTGTTTTCTGGTGCAAAGAGAAACTAGATTCTTTGGATTTCTATAGCAGAGAGACCAATTCCAGGGTTCTCTGGGTTGGGGAGACTAGATTCTACTGCTCTCCGACATGAGAAATGTAGAATATAGAGTTCTCTGGTACAGAGACCAGATTGCAGTATTCTCTGGTGCAGAGAGACATAATTTCAGTGTTCTCTGGTGCAGGGAAACAAGATTCCAGTGTTCTCAGGTGAGGAGATTAGGTTCCGGTCCCCTCCCGTGTGGAAATACTAGATTCTAGAGCTCTCTGATGTGAAAAGACTAAATTATAGAGTTCACTAGTGTGGGGAGACTATAGATGCTAGAGTAGTATGGTGTGTGGAGACCGGCCTCACGTTATCTCCTGGGGTTGCAGTGTCGGGTGTGGCCTGCGGGCGGGCACAGCTAAGAGCCGGCAGAGTGAAGGGAGGACAAGACGCCAGCCCTGGAGAGTTCCCCTGGCTCGTCTCCATCAGGGTTGCTGGAGCTATGAGCGCTCACTACTGTGGAGGGGCTCTAATACACAAGCGCTTCGTCCTCACCGCCGCCCACTGTGTCCATAGGTAGGTCTGATCCTATATGTTACTGTGTCTGTAGGTATATCAGGTCCTCTCAGTTACTACATTCTGAGTGCATAGGTGGGTTAAGTACTTTAAGATGCTGCGTTTGTAGGAAGTTCACATAATATCTGCTTTAGCTCGTCGGTAGGTAGGTCAAGTCTTCTTGTATCTACGTTCCACAGGTTTGATTTCGTCTGTAAGTTTCTCAAGGTAGTTCTTCAGTATGTAACTGTCTCCATAGATAGGTCCTATGTATGTTATTGTTTCCACAGGAAGATTCTGTGTACAGTATCTTGTAACATCCGTAGATAGGTCCTGTGAACAGTATGTAGGTCCTGTCGAATATAGAATTGTGTTAGGATTCAACCCTTTACTCCCCGGGGGATACAGAAAGGTTGTTACCCAAAGCTTCTACCACACCACTAGATTTATTGTAGTCTTGAACATAATTTAATGTACTGAACACACATTATATAACTTTCAAAATTTATTAAATTAACAACACTTACTGCTGACTTAATGAAATATTACATCCATTTTTTTCATTATTTTTTTCAAAATTTATTTGTGACTCATGAAGTGTATTTGAATACATCTTTTTAGCAATGTAAACAAAGATAAATAATTGTTAATAGAAAATTCTCATATATTAATGTTTTAAATAATATTTTCTTAAATTTTAATTTAAAGTAAGTATTAGTTTACATCATTTTCAAATTCCAAATATGCACTAGTTTTTTATGTATACTTTTAACATAAATTGATATAAAATTTAAATTAATTACAAATAAAGGAAATTAAATCACTTTCTTTGGTCTCAACAATATCAGTTGCAACAAACAATAAATGTTATCAACATTATACGATATAAGTAGCAATAGTATTAAAATAATAGTTGATAATAATATAATGATACAATTAATTTATTTATAATATTATCAATAAAATGTTGCTATCTAACAACGAACGTTATAGAAACATTATCCTACTCTAACCTCTACAGGAACTCTCCCAAATACGTTGTGGCTGTGGCAGGTGAACACGACTTCAATGCCCCCAATAATGGCTTTAGGCAGGTCCTGCCAGTGAAGGATATCATCTCTCACGCAGATTTCTCCAAGGTTAGTCAAACCATTATGAGACTATTTCAATCAGCTTTACTCATCCTGAGAGCGGTTGTTTATTGTGCACATCAATGTTACTTTATGTGTTATAGATACATTAATGTTGCTGTATGTGCTACATAGATTCACCAATGTTGCTGTGTGTGTGTGTTACAGAGATACATCCACGACATAGCTCTGCTAGAGCTCGGACAGGACGTCGTGTGGAGTAAATACGTCCAGCCGCTGTGCCTCCCTGATCTCAACACCGATGGCGTCACTGACGCCCTCAACGTTACCGTCGCAGGCTGGGGCATGACGGACGAGGCTTCGAACGGTACGTTTCTAATGTACACGCTGTCCTTATTTTTTGGGGTGAATTATTTTTGTGTTACTGAATTTGTTTATATACTATGAATATTGTTTTTCCCCTCACTCCTTCCTGCCTTTTCCCCTGCATCTCTTTCCCATATTTCCCCCCTCACTTATCTTCTCTCCCATGTTAATATTGATCCTCTCCCATATTGATCTTGATCCCCTGCAGGTGGCCATCACGTCAACGTGCTGCAGAAGGTGGTGGTGCAGGTGGTGTCCCGCACTGACTGCCAGAGCTGGTACTCCAGCCACGCCGGCAAGGCTGTCGTGCTCTACGACACTCATCTCTGTGCTGGCTTCGAGAACGGCGAAAAGGACGCTTGTCAGGTGACTAAAGAGTTATATTGGTGATGGCGGTGGGGGAAGGGGGAAGTAGGTAGTGGGTAGTTGTATTTTGGAAGGGTACAAGGCTCTTTGGGCAAATGTCTTCCTACAAAGAACGTCGCATTTCGGTCGTATGCATTACATAAGGCCAAAATTTGTCGTACTAGAAAACAGAAGCGGCTCGCGAAAGTGACGTACTGTCCCGCTTTCTGTTTTGGGATCTCTGGTAGGTTAGGAGAGGACACTTTGAATTCACCGTTTTTTTGACGCTGTCAAACCTTAGGAGGATGGGCTGCTTTGGGAGCTAGAGATGTAGAGGTGGATTTTAGGTGAAAGCATAAGGCTTTCATTAATATATATATTAATGTGTATTGTATGCTTGATATTTTTGACTAGTTGATGTTTGTTGAGGAAGTGATAATTAGGTGAGCGTGCAAAATATCAAAAGACTTTTCATGCTATAATGCCAATTTAGGTGATGGGATGCTTGGTCAGGTGAGTTTAGGTAAATACGTTTAGAGGGTGAGAAGGCTTACTAAACAAAGGCGAAAGTGGAGCTTATCAAGGATGTTAAGGTATAATTTCTGTGAGCATTAGTGATTGTAGAATGTAGATTCGTTAAATACAGATTGCGTATAGTGTGTTTTTTGCGGATCTCTATTTCCAATTTTTCTCATTTTAAAGCCTTGTTCTTCATATTTCATTCCTATACTTCCACACCCGTTATTACCATCGTCTCTCTACCAGGGTGATAGCGGAGGCCCCCTGCTGACGGCGCCTGATAGGGATGGACGTATGGTAACGGTTGGAGTGGTATCAGCAGGTATCGGCTGTGGGCGACCAAGACTTCCGGGCTTGTATACTAGAGTATCCAGGTACATAGACTGGATCGCTACTAATCTCAGGTCGCGAGGAGTGACTGTCACGCTCTAGAAAAAAAAGTCAATTGCTGTCAAGGTTCGGCAGGACCGGACTTCAACAGGACGATATATATCGAGAACGATACCTCACTATGACCGGATCTCAATAGGACTCAATAGAACCTGAATATACCACACGTTGATTATATCTCACCTGAACCATTCCTCATCAGAATCATATCTAATCAAATCAACAAGATCATACCTCGCTGGGACCACTCCTGAGATTCACGGCGAAGAAGTGCACTAAGATGGAATCTTTTAATCATTATCGATTATTAAGTTTAGTACGTATGTCAAGTAGTTCATTAATGGTTCAAGAAATAGTAGAACCAACCCGCACATTTCTATAGTACATTACATGTCTAAATAGAAACTTGATTCTAAAAGCAAGTCGAAATCCCAGTCATTTACGAGGTATGGTTTTCTAAAAAGCTAATATTAAAATTAATGATGGTTAAAAAAAGACCCAATATATGTAAATGTGTATTAAAAGTTCAATTTTCGCTTTTGAATACATTTATACATATATATTGGGTTTTTCTTTCACCGTCACTACGGCATTGTAGTGAGTTTCCCCACTAAAATTAATATAAACAAATTTATATATATTTTTTAATATGTAAGAATTACCGTTACCTCTTCAGTAGGTTTCATAACAATAGCCAATTTTTTTTTAATAACACAAGTATATATATTACGCAAAATTTTAAGAAGTACATGTACTTTAAAACTAAAATTAGTATATACGTTCAAGGTTAACATTACTCAACCTGCTAGTCAGTGAACAGTAGTGGTGACATTACTATCCCTACCGGGGTTGATAGGACCTAAGCCCACCAACAAACCAATGGTTTTCGAAAGCCACGTAGCCTGAGGGAGTTGTATACTCTTCCTCAATGTACATAGTGATAGTTTACTGCAGTCTTTAGGTACAACTTGTGTTTACTGCTTGGTTATTAAGATGTTGTGGTGACCGTAATATAACCTCACGATTGATAGGTCTCAAGTTCAACGCCAAACCATGAGCCAAATTCACGACGCAGTTACGCAAGCACTTACGAACCTGTCCATCTTTTCTCAATCTTTGGCGGCTTTGTTTACAATTATTAAACAGTTAATGAGCTCCGAAGCAGCAGGAGGCTGTTTATAACAATAACAACAGTTGATTGGGAAGTTTTCATGCTTGTAAACTGTTTAATAAATGTAACCAAAGCTGTCAAAGATTGAGGAAAGATGTACACGTTTGTAAGTATTTTCGTAACTGCTTCATGAATCTGACCCCAGAATTTTTTTTTACATGTGAAGCTTTTAGAAAAAAGTCTTATGAAAATACTTCTTTGATCTTAACGCCACAATTAAAAGTCATTCTACATACACTCGATCTGATAATTTAAAATTGTAGTGTATATGATTTTTGCCAATTAAATATACATAATTTTCTCCTGATCTCTGTTTCTTATAATGCTGTCAGTATTGTGTTTCTATCAAATGATCTCATTAACAATTATTTATCTTAATGACATTTAACGAATATTGTATGTAATGGAATGATCATCTGTAAAACTATAAATATATTTTTATAGAGTGCTAAAATTCTATGTAATCATTTTACGCACTTTTGCTCAAATGTTTATATTAACAAATAAATGTAAATAAATATGTATCCTATAACTGACTATTTAATTATCTGCAAAAAACACATTTTACTTATAATAACAAATTAATTATAGTAATCAATTAACGTCTGCAGTAATAATATTACTGCAGACGTCGCAGAGCGTTACGTCCTTGTAAACCAACTGTAGTGAGACACACTTGACAGGACGATACCTCAACCTGTCACGCTTCAACAAGGGATATCAAAACTAAATGGGATATCAGAAGCTAAAATGGGATATAAAAACAAAATGACTTGCATCTATACCTCCTACCTGAAGGTCTTCAGTGTGTCTGTATGTCAACAACATGTTCATATATATTTGCGAATGTATATCATTTAAGGGTACAGCACCAAGAAAAGTGTCCATCTTCTTGGAGTATGTATACCAAATATGCATTAGTTCTGGACCATATTGAGGCCTAAAGTACTCTTGTGGGTTGGTCAGTAAGCACTTTTGTGGCCTTAAGCCACAAGAGTAAGCAGTTGATGCGGTCAAAGTCACAAGAACAAGCAGTTGATGCGGTCAAAGCCACGAGAACAAGCAGTTGATGTGGTCAAAGCCACAAGAACAAGCAGTTGATGCGGTCAAAGCCACGAGAACAAGCAGTTGATGCGGTCAAAGTCACAAGAACAAGCAGTTGATGTGGTCAAAGCCACGAGAACAAGCAGTTGATGCGGTCAAAGCCACGAGAACAAGCAGTTGATGCGGTCAAAGCCACAGGAGCAAGCAGTTGATGTGATCAAAGATGCAGGAACAGGCAGACGACGTGGGTCAAGGGGTCCTCTTGGCCATGGCTGGAGCACTCAGCCATAACGAGCTGATGTTAGCTTAACCAAAGTTTGTTTATGAGCTGCTCGGAGTTCAATGACCACTTGGAACTCTGCGCAATGCCAACAAGCTCAGCTGCATATGAACACCACACTATAAGAGTGTAATTGGAAAACCCAGACAACAGCTATTGAAAAACTGCAATTCGTGAACACACAATGAAAATATGATACTGAAAAACTGGGCATTGATGTACGTTAGTGAGAGAGAGAGAGAGAGGGTGATTGTTTTGGGGGGAAGGGGGGGAGGGGTGTAAGTGTGTGCGCGCGCTCACGAGAATGGTGAAGATATTGTGAGTGGTCGGCACTGCCTGTGGCTTCCACACCTCTCACGACCACAGTCACGGCAACACAGTTCACAGAACAGGTTGGGCTCGCAGGACAAATTAAGCAACTAATTCCTCGGTAAGTCAGTTACCACTTATATTCAATGATTTGCTTAAATACTGTGTATTCAATAATATTCTAATCAAAATTTGTTTTTACTCAAGATTATATATATATATATATATATATATATATATATATATATATATATATATATATATATATATATATATATATATATAATTCAGCTCTTGATAAACAAAAGCATTAGGTGAATAGGAACGTACCTAACCATTTCTATGCCGCTCGGGAATCGAACCCGGGAATTCCAATTATGAGTAGAGAACGAAACCAATTGTACATGGGTCTACGAAACCTTTGAGTCATCCAATGTTAGAGCGCTTTTGTACTGACGCCTTAAGACATCAAATTTGACATAAATACCTAAATAATACCAAAGGGAATGGAAAGTAACTGCATATCAGCAGTTGCTGAATATATAATATAGTCATCCATCAGTTTAAAGTCCACTACGGGCTCACCATAGCCCGTGTTACTTGGAACTTTTATGTTCCAAGTAACTGAATCTATAACAACAACAGTTTAAACATAATGGCACATATTCATTGAAACCTAAAACACGGTACGCTGTGTGTATATTCATTTGTCTTTGTTCAGGACCTAAGTATCCTTTCCGACTGGTTAATATGTAATTATGATGACCATAATAACCCTCCAAAGGTAATTAGGCTGTTAAATAAAACAACAAAACACTCATCTGCAATGAATATAAACAGTAATAATATATGTTTGTATGTAAAAAAAAAAGTTTATACTTTAGTTTTGTGCTACGTTACGCGGCAGTGCACATCCTTGTTGGTCATTAAGCTATTGCGGTAACCTTGATAGTTCCTCCCGCGGTTGATTTACCGCCCAACTCCACAAGTCCACTACGGGCTCACCATAGTCCGTGCTATTTGGAACATTTGTTCCAATTAGCTGAATATATGACAACAACAAGAAGCCCAACACCAAAATTTTCACGAGGTTCATGTTAAAATTAAGGATGGGAAAAATGAATTGTAAACGTTAAATATATATTGTAATTGAAGTCTTTAGGGACTTTCGCGCAATCGCGAATTAGCGAGGAAAATTCTGGTTAAAGTTCTCTATAGAGGATAGAGAACTTTTTCTATGCTCTATACAAGTTTTCTTTGCGTGTCACTGTCAGTATTTTTTTTTATTAATACATGAGGTACATCTGCATTTGAGCAGCTACCCTAGACTATATGAAGTGGAGTACAGTGTGTCAAAAAAGCTAACTACGTGATGCTAAAAAATCCCCATCACTCAGGATGGTTAGTCATACAGAGGCATGTGATAGGCAGTCAACACTGGCAGACTTCAGATGTATTTTGAGGATATCATCAACACAGGAGTGAATAAGGCAGCAGTGGTAATAAAAGTCCCCATCTCGCAGGATGGTTAGTCATACAGGACCATATGTTTAGTAGCCTGCACTGGCAAATTTTGGGTGCAATATGAAGATATCCTCAAGAATACGAGTGAATAAAGTAATTGCAAAGCTCCAGGTACTTCATGCCATCTGGTCTGAAAGGTCTAATAACTGGGTGATGTATTGTGGGAGATCGTGCCGCAGTTCCTGCTCACAGAGTTTGCACCTGGAGTGCTCAGGATTGGGAGATCCGTCACCTGTAGCCACCTGCCACAGGTAACGGTAACCCAACCTGATCCTGGCAACCACTGTGTCGCACAGTCTGGTGGACGTTTTGTGCTGCCCATAGATATAGGTTTCAGATCTGAACAAATCACAGCTTTTAATACTAGTACTTTCAGGTCGTTGGGAGTCAGTAATTTCTTTCCTATCAGACCTGAGTGTTTGGATCAATACAGTTTTGACAGTAGAGATGGGGATACCTAGATCTAATTCAACTTCATCTTTGTTGCACGCTAATTTGGCTGCAATGTCTGTCTCATTATGATGGGTTATATATATGTGTGAAGGTATCCATATATGAGTATTCTATGAAGTACAAACAACAGTTCAGTAGGAAACTGTCCAGAAACAGTGTTAATCTATCACTATGGCAGTATCCATGATTATGTGTCAATAGATATATATTTGATGTTATTCAGACTAATGTTTTGTAAGGAGTGTATGTATTGCAGCTACACTTCCTTCGAAAACATTATCTGTACAACATGGGAGGAATTAACTGTAAGTGTCTGAACATTAAGTTTGGATACTTAATAGAAGAGAAAGAAAGTGACTTCCTTTTTTTTCAATAGTTTTTTCCGTAAACTTCCTATCCTGCCGGCCCCTTCCTGAAGGTTCTGTAGCTCCCGGTACCTCCTGCAATATGGGGGACCCCTACTCGTGAAATTGAAAATTGAAATTTAAATTTAAATAAGTTTGAGGTAAAATACATACAAAGGGATGTGGTAGCTCAAGCTATTCTCACCCCGTTCAGTACATCGTGTTAATACATACATAGACACACATCACAAGTAATAAACGTATTACCGAACATTCTGAGAGATAAACATATACAATTTCCTCCTTTACACAAGTACCTACTCGTGAACTAAAGGCAAAATCACTAGTTACGTTATCTGCCGGATTATTGTTATTTCTCGTAGTTAGCGTATGCAGTGACGCAATTTCGGAAGATGCACTCAGTTGAACTAACTCATACACATTACATTCATGCAACAGCACACGTACGTATATTAACACGTTCATTATCAGCCATTTTCAGCCACACAATGAGATAAAATTATATAACTCTTTTTTTAAGGTATCAAAATGATTCAAAGTTCATGGCGGGGCCTATCGGCATGGGCTCTGCTACTGCTGCTGCGCCAGATCTCTTCCTTCAGTGTATCAACGACAGGTATGGTACTGAAGTTCACTTTAGTCTGGCCACCTCATTGAAATATTCATACATAGTAATTTACTGCTACCAGTTAGATTGTATGTGGGTCTATACTTTTAATATTAATGTTCTAACTGTATATTAATGGATGAAAAGATGAAGGTTTTCAGCTACTCACTCGTCAAGTTCTTATGCAAAGATTAGTATATGTTTATAGTGATGCGTACTCGAACACGCGAAAGTAGGAGTCATTGCATTAGACAAGCAGCGGATACAAAGGCAGGGGTCCAAGAACTGAAGCTCAATCCAGAAGGCACAAATAGCCAAGTACACGCAATACACAAAGATGTGGAGACTAAGTTTATACTCAGTCTCAAACGTATATATATAATTGAATCCACAAGTTTTAGGACTGTACCATAGTCCGAACCCAAGAGCTTAAGCCTAGCCCCCTAAAAAGCAGAGGTAGGTGAATACACCCAAGAGAACAGAAGCCACCTAGCACTTACCCTGGTGTCCTTGGGCGCGTTCCATGTTATTTAGGATCCGGGAATCCCTGAGTTTGGTCGGGCAGGTGTTTGATCCTAGGCTTCACCACCTGGTGCGTTTTGGTTCTCTAGTTGTGTAAATGAACAATATTTTAAGCACATTTTATAATAGTAATGATCTCTAATACCGTGTTTGTATGATGGCTTGTCTCTATGATGGTGTACCTCTGTGAGTGTTTCTATGATGGCTTGTTTCTATGATGACTTGTTCTATGATGGTTTGTCTCTATGATGTCTTGTCTCTATGATAATTTGTCTCTATAATGGCTTGACTATGATGGCTTCTCCCTAGGATATCTTGGCCTTAGTATATCTGGTGCCTAGGATATCTTGTTCCAAGGATATCTTGGCCTTAGTATATCTGGTGTCTAGGATATCTTGTGCCTAGGATATCTTGTCCCTAGATTGTCTTGTCCCCTAGGATATCTTGTCTTTAAAATGTCTTACCTCTTGGATGTGTATCAAGCTCGAGTAGTAGCGTAAATAATGTCAAACTATTATCAACACTATGAGAATACGGCCCAGCAAACACACAATGTTGGAGCGAACGTTTTTACACTGCCAAACGTAAAAAAATATTTTATTTATGTTGTGTTTTTGGTGTATACCGACGTTAACTTTGTCTTCGTTTGGTAGTGTTGGACTTATGGATTATCAAACTCTAGGGGATTATTAAGGCCCAAAGTGTGTATACAAGGGTTTACTGCCTAGCCATCAAGGATATCTCAGTCCTGGACGTTATCCAGGGCTAAAGTACACTCTCAGTGTATATATACACCGAGAAGCAGTGGTATACCTCTCTGTGAATATATATCTTTGACTTCCTGAATGGATAATGATCATAATGTTCTTGCTCAGTGGTCTCATTGAACTCACGTGTTCAGCATTGGTCACTCCCTCTTAACTCACATGTTTAGCAACCACTTATAATGCAAAATATTTTCAGATATTAACATCTCAAGTCCTGTCCCGCTTTCCATAGCGACTGGAGGCGGCCAAGTCACCACCTTGATGCTGCTCATGACCCCCGCAGGTCACAAGATCAATGTCAATCTTGGGGGCGGCACCCAAAACCAGTTTTGTGATCTGAGGGCCAGGTACATCAAATTTATTTGATATAAAAATGAAAATGACAAAATATGAATTAGCATAAGAGATTTTTTCGCACTACCTAGAAGTTGCTACTAACTGTGAACATGTTGATGTTTGTTGTTGTTATAGATTCAGCTACTCGGAACAAGTTCCAAGTAGCACGGGCTATGGTGAGCCCGTAGTGGACTTACCTGGCACAGGAGCGGTGCACAATGTGAATATGTTACTATACAACTAGTGATCTGAGTTTATCTCTGGACAGGAACTGCCTGGAGGTGAAGGAGCAACAAGGGCACAAGATCAGCGGCGTGTACACAGTCGCGCCTTATAAGTGCTGTCCAGAACGCCTAGTACAGGTATACTGTGACATGGAAGCAGATGGTGGAGGGTGGACGGTAATCCAGCGAAGAGATAAATTTGACCAACAGGAAGACTTCTATCGCACGTGGACCCATTACGTCAATGGCTTTGGCAACCTGACGGGGGAGTTTTGGTTGGGACTCGACCACATTCACGCCATCACGAACCAGACCATCAACGAGGCGAGGTTCGATCTCGGAGACTTTGATGGCAACAAACGATTGGCCAAATACGACAGAATTCACGTCGGCGACTCGAAATCCCTATACAAGCTGGAGCTTGGGGCATTCTCGGGCGACGCCGGTGACGCCATGGAACACCACAACGGCAGAAAGTTCTCTACTATGGATAAGGACAACGATGATCACTCATCAAACTGCGCAGCCGTGTAAGTTTTATTTTTCGTCACAAAACTTTAACTTGCTACCTGTCCACACACACACACACACACAGCACAGTACCCGCAGTGAGTGGCAAGTCTCCTATGCCTCCCAGCTCACTACTCCTGATAAGTGGCAAGCCTCCTGTGCCTCCCAGCTCACTACTCATGATAAGTGGCAAGCCTCATAAACCCCTAGCTCAGTACTCATCATGTCTCCATTGATAACTTTACCTAATAAACACAAAAATAATAATATCCAAACCTTAAGCAATACAGGAATATATATCACCCATTACCATTGATATAACATATTTACGTGATGTGTTGTCCACAGGTACAAGGGCGCGTGGTGGTACGGCAGCTGCCACAACACCAACCTCAACGGGGAGTACTTGAACGGGCCCACCGACAAGACTTCTCAGGGAATCATCTGGGAGTTCTGGCGGGGAGATAACTACTCCCTCAAGATGACGGAGATAAAGGTCCGGCCTAGGGATACTCTCGCTCCCTCATGCCAAAGAAACTGACACAGGACACGAGAATCTTTCCATAAAGTTAGGGCCTCAGTTAACGCTGATTTAGTTCTTACCAATTAATCCACTGGTGTACTATTTTAACGCTTAGAAAGAGGTTGAAAAAAATTATATAACAATGTTGCTGTGTACTGTATGTTTTATAAGCCACTAACCCTTGCGCGTAGGTGAAGTTTTTATAATTAGAGGAGGCCAGCCAGGGCTCCAGACACCTGCACTTAAATTCGTGAAGCCACGAAAGGCAGACTTTAAAATTCATCATCGAGAGGCATTTCGCCCCAGAATCACAAAGACGATAATCCTACAACGAAAGCTTACAACTAAACCCCTCCTGTCCTAGTCTAAGTCTACCGTATTTTATTCTTATTAAATCTGTCCTAACTTGATTCCCTATCATTCTAGACGAGTCGTGAGTACTGAACCCATAATAACCTATTGTGAATAAGTGGTTAGGTTATTTATGATTGTAATTATACATGTATGAATACCTGGGAATAAAATTATTATTATTACTATTTTTATTATCTCAATCTAAAGTTTGTCAGTTAAAAAAATAAAGAATGAAGTCTCAAGATCCCTGGAAATAATGGATTGAGTCTTAATGCAAGGGAAAGTTCAATGGGTAGATTAAGACCATGAAATATATCAATGTTTCTGGAGTTGACCCCAAAGCATGGCAACTCGTCCTCGGGCTGTGCTCGTCCATGTAGTAGCCGATCTCGTGGACGAATTCATTAATTTTAACATAACTTAGTATTGAAAATCTATATTTTCTAAAACTGAAAATATTTTTATATATTGGAACTTATTATATAGCTAGGCCTAGCTTAGATTAGGTGTTTAGGTTCTGTTGGCAATTATTTGTATTTACAATACGTGGGTGAAGCATTTAGAGAAATGTAATTCGAACAGACGACGTGAGTGGAAAACTAATAATAATAGTAATAATTATTTTAATCCGGTAAAAGTACATACATACAAAATGAGTTACTAACAGAATGTTTGATTTCTAGATAAAGCTAGTATATACTAAGCCTAAAGCCACTAGGACGCACAACGTTTCTGGCTGCTGTTCGATAACAAATTCTAATGTCAGCAGTTGGGAGTCGTATATAAAGTGGTTATTCATTCATAAATAGGGAATCTGGCGGGTGGATTAAAGAACATTTGGCCTTTGTTGATGAAGATAGGCTGTGTTTCAGGACAGGCTGCCTATCCGACTGAGATAATCTATATTTTCGTGAACCCTATTGTTTTATGAAACGTTATTATTTTCGAAGCAAAAGTTAAGAACAACTCATGTGGTGGTGACTGTTACCTATCGTACGTTACGGCTCGTGACCCTACAGCAGCCAAACTTTAATTACGTCTAGGGATACGAGACAACTGCTGTTCTCAATAGCGAATCACCAGTATAACCCCTTGATAAGTAATGAGCACAATAATAAATCTTCCTTAGGACTGAAGAATAGATCAAAATCTTATATACATATATATTAAATAAATCTCAATAGCAAAACAGATGATTATTTGGTCACAATATATCACATTAAAAATATCACTGTATCTTCCAGACATTAAATTAAAATTATTATATGTATGGCTATGACAGAACAAAAATGTATAACTTAACTCCACAGGTGCTAACTCTCTGGTTCCTGATCAGCTACTGAATACAATAACGCGAGAGTCAAAACACATTGCCTTGCCCCGCGAACAATTTGCCAAAGTTACAATATTTATTATTTCAACAATGGAGCAATACATTGTGACAAGAGTAATCTTAAACTAACTTAATGAATAATTAATACATATTGATATACAAAAATAAGGTAATGGTTTCTTTACATAGTAATTAAAATATGCATACAGAAGGGAATAATGGCATGCACACCCAGCAACGGACGGTCCCACGACAATTTGCCAGATACAGTTCACTCAATTATTATTCACCTCTGTTACCCACATATGATCACATATAAATCATTAGTTCCCGTGGGAAAACTGAGCACACAAAGAAATAAAACAATCATTCCCACGATACGTTGGGCCTAACGCCAACACTGTAACATGAATGTACGTTTGCATAGAACATATAAGTATATCAATATACATGCTTGTAATTTACACACAATTATAAATGTACATATTAATTTATTTACTTACGTATCTTATAGGGGTACGTAACAGTGACGATAGTCACAACAAGCACACTAAACTTGGACAGAAGACCTGTCACTATTCACTAGCACGAAATCATGCCAAGTGACTATAGTCATATATTCTATACCCCCTATATATTGACTACAGGAATGTAATCAAATAGTACATAAGACGATTAGATTACTTTAGTTTTATGTTTGTTAAAACCGTAAATATTGTTAGGTATAGACTAGGCTATGTTAAGCTCGGTTGGGTTGGGTTTGGTAAGACTAGGCTGTGTGTAAATATCTGTTGGCAGATCGTCTTTAGTACGATGTGAGGGGACGGGGGGCGACCATCCTGTGTGATGTGATTGACCATTTGTGTCCTCCAGCCCCAGCTACTCACTATTGGAAGCAGCAGCTGGAGATGGCCCTGACGGAGTCGCAGGCGGGGCAGGCGATGTGCGCCGACATGCCCAGGAATCGTAATCCGCTGAATGTGGCCTCCAACCTCAACTGGTTGCTGGGGATTATTGGCGACTTGTGTGGGTGGGGGGTTGTGTATATGTACTCTCACCTAGTTGTATTTACCGGGAGGTTGAGCTTCAGCTCGTTAGTTCTGCCTCTCCACTGTCAATCAATTGGTGGACAGGATTCAACAGGCATCTATTTACAAACCTGTACATCTTTTTGTTCAATCTTTACGTGCATCGAAACTTCACAGTCAAATGGTGTTATTATTATAAACACCCTCCCAGTGATTCGGTGCTTATACACTATTTAATAAAAGGAAAATACAGTGCAACCTTATTTTAACCAGCGAACTATATGGGACCAACCCAAGTTCGTTGAAGTGAGGTATTCATTGCAACTGGAAATGTCTCCTGGATGCATTTCCCACGCCCAATGGGCTAATTTCACTTAACAATATTTTCATTTCAACCTATACTATAATAAACAACTACAGAATGAACATGTCTGCACAAAATTTAACCACATCAATATTTCTCACGTCCCCAGCCTCAAAACTTATTTCCAACAGGTAGCAGGCAATGCCGGAGTGAACGAAAACCCCTGTTGTTGGGGGATTGTAGTGTGTTGTGGTGCTTGTGGGTGTGTTTTTTGGGGGTTGTAGATAGCTGTAGTGCTTCATTGGGTATTTGTAGCGCATTTATAGAGGGTGTAGTGATGATAGAAGTAATGTGCAGTATATATAAATTATCAAATGATCGTCAGGGGAAAGGTTTCTACAAGTGATATATTATTGCACTCACTGAAGATGGAGCTCGGCGTGGTGTTCTACGATCCCCACCAGCTGCACTCTCTCCCAGTCACCTGGTCTACCTCAGCTACAGGTGAGAACTATAGTCGTTTCCATTTATTTTGATATAGTTAATTGAAGCAAGTATTTGAGCCTTTTACCCACACAAAATGTGAGCTAATAAAAATCTTTCTTCTCTCGACACTACTTTTCTACCCCCCCCCCTTTCTCTCCCTCATCTCTCGCCCCTGCTTTTCGACCCCCACCTTCTCCTCTCTCCCCTACCTTTCTGCCCCCTCCCTTCGCTCCCTCACGTCCCTACCTTTCTACCCTCTCGATTTCTCACGCCCCTACCTATCTACCATACCTCCCTCTAGAGTGACTCTGGCCTTGGTGTACAACTCCCTGGTGTGCTGCTGTCTGCCCTGCTGCTGCTCGTCGTTCTGTGGCTGTTTCATAGGCATCGTGAATTTTGTGCCGAGTCTGCACGCTGCTGGTACTCGCCAGAATGTGCTTAACTTTTTTTTACTTGCCGGGTGTACTCGTATAGATTTACTCGATTGCACTCTTATGTTTGTACTGTGCGTGTGCCTGTCTATCTGTCTGCTTCACAGATGTCCTGGTTGGTGCACCCCTTACTACGTTTCTCGTCCATGTTAAACTCCAGTTTTCAGTCCTTCGGGTTTCTTGCAAAACATTGCTGTTGTCATCCCTTCACCGATGCTTTCAAGTTACTGTGCCGTGGTGTTAAGCTACAGTCCCTCCTGCTCCCTCGCTATGCCTCCGACAGTGTCCTTGTCGTGTAGAGGTCGTCTTTATTCTCGGACGATATCTTCAGGTGTGTTGTGGGGCAAACAAAAGTCGTTCCTTAGACTACGATCTTCTAAGCACTGTTGCGGTGATCAGTCCTCGCAATCAACTACTAAGGTTCTTGTGAGGACATGCTTTAAAAATATATATGGATTAAACATTAATAAATAAATAGTATAAAAATTTCTGGCCTTGCTGTATGCAATGGTTGTTACTTCAATCTGTTTTCATTTACTTTTCTTTTGTCTTTAAAGCACCCGTCTGAGACGAGTCAGCAGTATATGAAATATATAAAATATATCTTCATTAATAATAGCTATGTAAACAATGAGTCTAGGTGAATAGACATTAAAATGTTGAAAAAAATATGCTAATAAAAATACATGAGAATTAACTAGCCATCGACAACTATTATTAAATATATTTTTTAAGTTAGTGGAAAAAATTAGAAAAAAAATTGTTTTATTTGCGGTTTTAATGACCATTTATTATTTATTCATTATAAGAATAGGTATATATATGGATACAATTTGTTTATATTTAATATAAAAAAAATGAAAGTCCGAACCCTCTACGAGACCAAAATGCTGCACAGTGCTTGTTAGGCTGTTAGCGTACAAAGTAATCATCACGGGTTTAAAGAAACTACACGTCAAAGCCGCTCTTGCTAATAGGACTACAACAACCGGAAGCGTATTTAGGTAATCATTACAACGGCTTCTGGACAGTAGCAGTACGTCAAAGCTATTGTGGCGGAACAGAATTGTTTCCAGCGCTATATAAAGGCAGCCGAGGCAGTCATTAGGCGTCATTCCGTCCGCAGACGAGACAGCAGCAGTTACGGCTATATGCGATCCTCGTCCGTGTTTATTATAGCATTATATATGCCCGTGGTTTATATATATATACAGGACCGTGTTTGTGAATGAAGACGTAAGGAACTACTCTAACATCATCTACAGAAGCTGTGTTTTTGAACGTTTATCAAACTCCAGACGTTATATGGTTACTTTCAGCTGGTTCAGACGATCATTGTCCCCGCAGCCCGGTCTCCAAATAAACCTCACGGTTGATATTCTGATCAACCAAGCTGTTGAATTCGGCTGCACGCAGTCTGACGTAGGGATCGCAGGCCCGATTGATCAGGTACCCTTTATAAGTGTTTTTATTAAGTTCGTGAACGCCGGAAGAGAGAGGTCGGCTAGTTATGCTCTTTATATATAAAGGAGGAAGAGGGAAGGGCCCTTAAAAAACTTATCTTTAATGTTTATAAAATTGCCTTTGAACGTGGCGGCACAATACTCTAATTGAGGCTATTTTGCCCATGGATATTGGCGGTGTTACTGTCGGATTATACATTTTGCCTCTGGATAGGGTTACAGGAGAGATATTCTGTGGATTAGGCCCCTGCAGTTCTTGGTAGGTAGGGTACAGTACAAGGCTTGGGGGCCCAAGCCTGATGCTTGGGGATGATATGGGACTTATTTTACAGATAGTTATGTAAATATATTAGTTATGTTTTGCTTTCATCCCCTTGTTGTTGTTTAAATTGCACGTGTAACTGTGCATCGTTAACATTGTTATTTTTTTTACTCGTTTCCACAATGAATGTTAATGTTAGGTGACATAATTTGCGCTTGTTACCAAGTTTGCTTGAAACTGTTCTTGATTTAAGGATTTGTAACTTCTGCTGTACTATAGTTTGAGATTTTGTATAACGTTATAATTATGTGTGTTTATTGATGTGACTGTTTTATTATGGTTTATTTTGCTCTTTATGTTATTAATACTTCCTATCCCTGGATTGTGGTTTTGTCATTCTGTAATTGTATTGGCTGGCTCTGACTCCTTCGCTTTCTATGCCCTTTTTTTATTTTTTATTTTTTCATTCGGTTGAATGGGGAGGAGGCATAATGTAATATTTCCCTTCTTTGCCAATTGTTTTATATTTCTATGTGTTTTAAGTCTGTCTTATTCAAGCGTTTGTGATGGGAAATGTGTTTTAGTTGTATCATGTTACTTCCATATGTTGATTTTCTTGAATTTGTGTAGGGTAATTTTGTTTTTATTGTACACATGTTGGATGGGGTGTATTGAATTACTTGTATTGGCTTATAAAGTATTCTTGCTGTTTGAGTTTTTCTTTGTATGCGCTTAATGTCAAAGTACTTAATAGTTGTATTGCTCTGTGTAGTTTGATAAGTGAGGATGTTTTGGTTATTTTATTTTATTTGTAAAGTATTTTTTTTTATAGAGAAACAAAATTCTGCACATTTGGCGATTTCCTGGTGTCGTGAGGCTATCAGTGTGTACATTTCCAATAATCATTTAAATATTTTCCAAATGTTGATAAGGATGTCACTCGCCAGCGTTCTAGAGAATACAATTTGAAGACATTTACCTGGAAACCTTTAGAAGTTTGTTTAACGTGGTGTGTTGTGGCTTGAGCAGGCTGGACGCATACAGACGAACTCCCATCAAGCGGTAGTACCGTTAATGGTGTCAGGAACGTTCTTGAGATCCAACTGATCTATGTTGACATACGGTGCTCTTCCCAGGAAGGAGATCTAAATTACACTTTACCAGGCAGGCAGACAGGCAGTCAGTCACCGGTTGCGTGATTCGGTGACTGCCTGCCTGCCTCTCTCTGGTGCTGGGGAGAATTATACAAATTGGACCTGGGTGAAGCAGATGGCCCTAGTGTGCTCCATAGTAAACTAGCGATCGTCGTCGCCCCTTAATTCAACACAACAGCAATAGTAAACTAGCAGGGGTAAATCTAATGATGAGTTATGAGAAGGGAAAGTTCTAAACTTGACTAAGTCAAAAGTCGTCTGTTCCTGTACCATGTGTTTAAAAAAATGAAAAAAGCCACTGCTTCCATAACGATCACATAACGGAAGGTAATTACGTTTACAGCTTGACGACTCTCATAATCGTTTCCCGTTACCTGTAAAGTACTCTTCTAGCCGAGCATGCAAGGATTTAACTTTGTTCTCGCCTCTCAACATCCAGTCAACTGATATACAAGTTCCTGTGCCTATTGAACTCTGCCATGTCTATATATGGAACTGTATATGGAGTCTGCCTTCCCCACATCACTGCTTAGTGTACTCAAATTGTTAATAACTGATTGCGGCAAGATGTGAGGAGTGAGGTGCTGGAAGAGAGTTAGACCAGGGGAGGAGTGAGTGGTGGTCCGAGCATCTTCTCTCAGAAATGGCAAAATAATGGAACCTGATCTACCAATGGATGAATATGACTGTAATGAATTGTGTGGCGATAGAGGGTGAGGAAGAATTCTCAAATACCACCATCGTTGGCTGCAATAATGTCTAAAATATATGCACACCAGCATCATAATCGGCATATTTGAAGTAAAACTTGAAGAACTACAGAACCAACAAGTTCTAACTGAAAGGATTCGAAGTGAAAATGAAAGATTAAAGGAAGCAAAGACATTTAATTTACCAACATTGTTTAGTGAAGTATGTGTATACACATAGAAGCTAGCATACCTCAGGGAAGAAATTAACAATATCACTGATCGCGCTGTTCTTCATAAACGTCGAGGAATGCATCTCCAGCAGCAGCAACAACAGAAAGCTCTTAATCAAAAACAGCAGAGAGCCCAGTTGGCTGAGGGATGGAAAAGCATCTCATTGCTCGTCCAGTCTGGGCACCACAACAGGATGGCCAGTAAACAAGGCAGAATAGATGTAAACAAAAGCTGCATCTTTGTTAATGTCACATATGTAGGTATAATGTACTGAAATAAAATTACAGTATGTAATTTGAACTGTAAGAATTTATTTTTTAAATTCTAATACTGGGAAAATTATTTATAATGTCTCTGGTTCGTTTGGGTGCTAAGTTTCCACCTGTCCCTTTGCAGAGACAGGTGTATATATATATTATATATATATATATATATATATATATATATATATATATATATATATATATATATATATATATATATATATATATATATATTATTAAATATGACCGAAAAAGTAAGATTAATAATTCTAACACGAATTTTCTCAATCTTTCGTACATTTCTTTTCACTGTTGGAGGTAAATCAAAAATCAATTCTCCAAAATTCATTTTTATTTCTAGTCTGACGCGACACGAGCGCGTTTCGTAAAACTTATTACATTTTCAAAGACTTTAGTTCACAAATACACAACTGTTGTGTATTTGTGAACTATAAGTCTTTGAAAATGTAATAAGTTTTACGAAACGCGCTCGTGTCGCGTCAGACTAGAAATAAAAATGAATTTTGGAGAATTGATTTTTGATTTACCTCCAACAGTGAAAAGAAATGTACGAAAGATTGAGAAAATTCGTGTTAGAATTATTAATCTTAGTTTTTCGGTCATATTTAATAATATATGTCTACAGGAAAGACTGCTACCAAAATATACTAATATATATATATATATATATATATATATATATATATATATATATATATATATATATATATATATATATATATGTCGTACCTAGTAGCCAGAACGCACTTCTCAGCCTACTATGCAAGGCCCGATTTGCCTAATAAGCCAAGTTTTCATGAACTAATTGTTTTTCGACGACCTAACCTACCTAACCTAACCTAACTTTTTCGGCTACCTAACCTAACCTAACCTATAAAGATAGGTTAGGTTAGGTTAGGTAGGGTTGGTTAGGTTTGGTCATATATCTACGTTAATTTTATCTCCAATAATTTTTTTTTACCTCATACATAATGAAATGAGTAGCTTTATCATTTCATAAGAAAAAAAATTGAGAAAATAAATTAATTCAGGAAAACTTGGCTTATTAGGCAAATCGGGCCTTGCATAGTAGGCTGAAAAGTGCGTTCTGGCTACTAGGTACGACATATATATATATATATATATATATATATATATATATATATATAAGGGAAGGGAGTATCATCTCTGGCTGAAAGAAAGGGACCCTTAGCCTCGGAGGAAACCACTCAACACATTAGAGGGAATGTTTAGGTCCATTATAATAATTATATTTATATATATATATATATATATATATATATATATATATATATATATATATATATATAATAATAATAATAATAATAATATATATAAATTTTAATAATACATCTTCAGAAGTGACAGAGGATTCAAGTCTAGAAATATATAATTTAGAAGTAAGATAGAGTTAATTAAAAATATAGCGGAAGAAATAGCTTGGCAATATTCTGAAACAGTTAGGGGGGGTGGGGGCGATACCTAGTGTTGAGTAGCGGTTAACTAACCCTAGCACTATATATAAGGGTTGTAAGGCTTAAACAAACCCGAGCACGGCTCCTGTGCGAGGTAAGTCCACTACGGGCTCACCATAGCCCATGCTACATGGAACCTGTTCAGAGTAGCTGAATCTATAACAACAACTTAAAAAACAGAGCTGCTCCCCTCAAGAAAACACACCGAAACTCTAGTTATTATTGTTTATTTAGTCATTATTGTTTATTTACTGCACTCTATCTCTGATATCAGTTTCGCTGCCCTGAAAAAAACTAGCCTCCTGGTTTTGGTTTGCCCCAAGCAGCAACCGGTAGTCTAAAACGGACATAGGATTATCTAATCATCAACTATAGTTACTTGTTGAGCAAACCACACACTAGAAAGTGAAGGGACGACGACGTTTCGGTCGTCCTGGACCATTCTCAAGTCGACTGTGATGAAATTGATTGATTGATAGATACAGATTAAGCCACCCAAGAGGTGGCACGGGCATGAATAGCCCGTAAGGATGAGGGAAGGAGGCAAAGGCAATAAATAGGCAAGAGAGAGGGGAAGAGAAGAAAATCTTATGTAACATCGTCAGGAGAAGAAAGTATAGTTACTTGTGTTACATAGATACAATGTAAGTATGTCTGCTCCCGTATGTATACATATACACAAAACAGTGGAGGCAACTACTTGAAATTTTACGTTCTTTACAGACGAATGTGAGGAGTTCATTGGTCACAGCCTGTTGGAGGCGAGGCTGGCAGCCCGTCTTTGACTAGAGAGCCGAAGGCGTCGCTGGTGTTGGGTCCTGGGTGCGACTGCAGACTTGTTGCTAGCGTAGTTGAGTGTGGCTAACTGACTTCGGGCGTAACTAGCGACCTGATTGTGTGGTTGGAGGATCGTGAATTTTCCAAGATGACCAGCAGAATTATTACAATAGTGTCCATGGGGGTGATTATGATAGTGATCTGTCTATGTCTCCTGTCAATGTGAGTATACCTGTCTATGTATATAAATATATAATAATAATAATAAATAATATGCCTGTCTCTTCTTTTGTTCGCTGTTTATTTCATTTAATAAATGTATATTGCCTATTTGTTACCTTCTATCAGTAACATTTAGCGTCTGCACTGCCCTTACATTTTATAAACCATTGTCTAAGTACAATGTTAAACTCCTCCCATTTTACTGATTTTACAGTGTTAATTTACCCACGATAAAACTTTCAGTGCTATTTCCCCATTATTATTAGACTTGTCCGCTGTAAGTTACCCAAAGTTATTTTATCCATTCTTAAATTTACCCCCTATTGTACTTGTCAAAGTTTAATATACAACCGCATATTTTCAACCGTATATTTTCTTTAATATTCATGGTTTAAGTTCCCAATGTTGAAGTTGTTTTATTAATTCAACAAGTTACAGTGCAATGTTAAACTGATCTAATATTAATATTCTCACATAGTTATTTACCCAGGGTAAATTTTCACTTATGTTATTTCCACATTGTTAGATTTACACTTGATAAGTTACCTGATGTTAAATTACTGATTCTTAATTTCCCCTTATTCATATATTTACCAAAGTTAATTCAAAAGGTTTAATTTTACACAATGTTGAATTTAAAGTTATTTTATTAATTCAACATTCAAATTTCTATATAATAATTTACAATTAAAATTTATTTCCCCTTAACGTGTTTAATCACTGATACGATTTTGTTTTCTTTATTAAATAATGTAAATATCATCTTTGTATTGTATATCAATTTACAGGGAAATACTATATTTATATATAATTCTCAGTAAACCAATTTTTCATATCGTCACAGTATGTTAATTTTCGTACGGCTCATGCTCAATGCGTCAAACATTGTTATTTGCTTAGCTAAACAAACTAGAGGGTTCAGTTCCTGAACCGATTATGTGCCTCTGTAATCCTTTACACCACCGCCCACGGGATGGGTATGGGGTGCATAATAAAGAAAGAAATTGAATTCATGCTCTATCTCATTCCCTAGGAGTCATCAGTCACGAAAAACGCGTTTTCGTCGCCACGTTGGTAAGTCTACCAGACAGCTGTAACTTAACTTCAAACCAAGTTGAAAGTATGGCAACATTGATTGTAACTTGACACCTTGTGCATAACTTAAGTAGATACGATGACAGTGGTGAAAGTTTCCTCAGATCTTAGACCCGATTCTATACACACAATCAAAAGTATTTGAGTATTTAATCTTGAGATTAAAATATAGTTTACCTGACCTTGTAACATGTAATAATGTTGCTTTAACGAATACATGTGTTGTTCCTTCCAGGACGCAAATGTTTCATCAAGCCCTTGAGAAGTGTCTCGGAGTTCTATCATTATTTCGAGAAGATCGAGTACAAGTGTAACAGTCTGGTGAGCGATCTAACCTATTTTAATTCGTGGGAAATTTCCTCCAGCTCTGGGGGACCCGCCTTTTAGTTATCGGTCATATGATGTAATGACTCCAGATTATCTTTGCGAATTAAACTTAGTCATGAAACCTCCAGTGTCTCCTCGTCTAATTCTCGGTACTCTGATGACTGTGCTTCCCAATCTTTCTGGAATCTCGAACCTATTTTATAATAATTAAAAGACCTACGACTCCCTGCCACACTTATCTTAAAAAATCCTCGCCACTTGCTAATTCTCGATGATTCGGAATTTAGGTTCTGTGATTCACCAAAAAACATTTCGCTGGGGAGAGTCGCGACCCACAGGTTACGAACCACTGCTCTAGCTCCTGTAGAAATACTTCTTTATGGTGATCTAATCTATTTGAGCTTTCAATTTTTACCTGTGTACGCTTAATCTGTCCCCACTCATGCTATGGATTTGTCCTTTAATTGGTTTTTACTGCCAGAAGCGGGTAAGTTGTTGTGCGGCCTATGCTCATCCTGTGAGCAATAGCACAAAAAGATACACAGTGAGCACAAAAGGTAGCGAGAATATTGCAAACTCATTTGAAATTTCTTAACTCAATTGATTTCATAATTTTTTCCAGAAACCATTTGGCCTGAGCCCCTTGTTCTTTGAGTTCCTCACTCTCTACGTTTTTTCAGAAATAGCTCATGACTTGAGGCTGTAGGCTGGAGATCCCTAAAACCACAACTCTTATACTCGTCCTCAGCTATCTCCCTCAGAGATCACTCGGCATGTAAACCCTGCTCAAACCACACACTCACACACACTTAGCCTAAACTCTTGAACTCCTTGCGGGAATCCTATATACCACACCTCTCATTCCCATTTCTTTCCCTAGAAACCATTCGGAATGCGTCCCCTGCGGGAGGATGGGGCCAAGTTCGTGTGTTTGGACGAGAAGTTTGGGCTAAAGCGTAACGCCTGTACCGTCCTCTCTTTCGGTGTTAACTATGAGTGGGAGTTTGAGGACGACATGGATGACTACGGATGTAAAGTGAGTACCAGTGTTTATTGTAGAATTAGTAATTGCAAATGCAAACTTGGCAACGTAACAGAGAAGGAAAATTAAGTTTGCTTTCAAAACAATGAAACGTTCATTGTTTTGAAAGCAAACTTTAATGAAACGTTAAGTTCTTGAATGGTTGGAGATCAAAGATGTATGGGACAGTATAATCCAAGGGTCGCCTCACAGCGGCAAGTGTGTTTATAAGTATGGTTAGCACTTTCTAACATGTCGAGACGTTGTTAGAACTTAATGTCTAATGACAATTGTAATTATTACTAAACGCTTCTAGATAAATCTTAGTACTATGATTTTTATTTTTAACATTATTTATTTTACATTAGATCACTACTAATGATGACTTCCAGATCTTTCTCGCAAACAGGTTTAACAATTTCGATATTATTTAGCTGGTACCTGGTTTTTATTTCATGTTCCTGATGAAGTGTTAAAAAAAACCAACACTGATCAACACTAACACGAGGCTTTCCGTCTTCAATTCATTTCGTTAGCGTTTTAGGTCTTTCTCAACGTATCTGAATCTTTGTCGTATTTCCCGTCGAATATCAGTGCCATTTGGAAATTTACTAAAGTTGCCATTCACTCCAGTGTCTAAATTCGACGTGATTCCGGGATATAGACTCGATCGAGGCGCTCCACTTGCGACTGTTGGCATCACTGACTTGACTCCATTTTAGCTCTATCGTTTCCCCCTGGAATAACCATGTGTGTGTTTGTGTGTACCTTCCTTGCCAGTCAGTCGTGTGGAGCAGCTGTGCTGACCATTACAACTGTGCTTGTATTTGCAGGTGTACGCTTTTGATCCGACAATGCAAACGCAAAACGACCACAAAAGGTCAGAGCGCATCAGTTTCTACAGACTGGGCATCGGCGACATTCAGGGTACGAGAAATGTAGGCATGGGTCAAGACTTTGACTACTTCAAGGTAAAGTCAAATCATTTTCAAGACAAACCGCTAAGCCAGTATGACTAGGGCGATATATTGTCATCCTGCCTCGAGTGTCCCATACGCCTCCATATCCATATCATGGTTCTCATTGATATCATGCACTCATCTTTCACAACATGTCTCCTGCTCCGGATATCAAGCCTCTGACTATTTTGTTTTTATTAAATATTATTACTATATGATTATTATTATTACTTGATATCATATTTTCATATAATGTCAAATATACCACATAAAACGCAGCCTACTCCCCATATTTCTTAATCTAATAAAGATACTTCTTCTATATATCTTTATCTACTTCTGTCCTCACTTCCGCCTCCTCTTCGTCAGGTGGACCGCTACGAGAACATCTTGCACATGCTGGGCCTGCAGGATGCCAGGGTAGACTACCTCAAGATGGATGTGGAACTTAGTGAACTGGAGTTCCTCAGGGACGTCCTGAGGAACAACCCCCACTACCTTACCAACGTCGGCCAGATAGCCATGGAGATCCACCACGGCTATAACGGTGAGTCTGGGTCTCAAAGATGGGTGCTTCCGTGGATGTATAATGCGAATGGTCAATCGACTGGTGGATGGATTATGAAACAGATTGCTTGTGTTAGAACCACAGTCTCTCAGATATTAAAGAAGCAACAAGCACCAACATAGTTGAGTGACTCCCATTTACAAGTATACACATTTAGGAACACAGATGTATATACCTCTTTCAGGTTTTCAATATAAATGACGCAATTTATCCAATAGTTCATGGTTACTGACGAACTAGAAAATCATTATCCTACTAAAATGTGTACCTGTGACATCCACAGGTGCCGGGTAACACAAATATTGCCTGTGTACACACCTGAGCTGGGTAACAAATATTGCCTGTGTACACACCTGTGCTGGGTAACACAAATATTGCCTGTAGACACACCTGTGCCACAAGCGATAGTAATGAAACACCGGTATATATCTGGTTCTTTCCCTGACATCACTACGTGCTATGCATGCCCGTGCCACCTCTTGGGTGGCTTAATCGCCATCAATCAATAGCATCATCATCATCACATCTGCGTCTCCCTCCTAAATGAGGGCTTGAGACATTACCCTTCAGTTCTGCCATCATCTTAATACCGGTCTCATTCTACCACCCTTTTCCCACAGGTGAAGGTCTTGACCAGAAGCCCCCACGAGTGGGACCTCTGAGCCCCACCAGTACGCTGCCTCTCTTTTGGAGTCATTTCCAGGAACTGCGATGCCTCGGCTTTCGGCTGGTCCACGCTAGAGAAAACTCTCCATGGCACGAGGTCCTGTGGGCCCGCGCTGACCATTGGTAGTTGGCTACTTAGTGTACAGGGGTTGGGTAGTTAGTGTAACGTAACTGTACTTTACGGCTCGTTGCACTAACAGAGACAAGAAATTAACGGTCTTGGGACTTGAATAAGATGGATCTAACCGCGTGTAACCAGTGTAAACCCGTAGTTACGTACATACAAAATAATTAGAATCAAAATCACCAGGGAAAAAAATATTACACCTGTATATATAAAAGGATTTATATTAAATAAAAATGTATAATAATCCAGGTAATTATTCCTTCAGGTATAATAGTAAATCAGATACAAGATATAGATATTGGTGATATAGGCTTGTATGATCATATGAAGATCAATAGATCTTATAGATCATATGAAGCAAGTCCAATTATGGAGCACAAAAGGCATCTAATAGCCTTAATAACCCTTCAGCGGATGATAGGCCTTGAGCCCAACATTGAACCAAAGCCTAAAACGCTGTGTTTCACAGCGTTTGACATGCAGTTTTAGCTGCCTTGTCTGTGTTGTCATGCTGGATACAATGAGGCCAGTAGATAATGCCATATGAAGGGGAAACGCCAAAAAAAGAAGTCTGGTTGAGGATATTGCACGTACCATAATAATTTAACAATATATGTAGAACAGATATTAAAATATGCAGCGCCAGATTGAAGCCTATATCTTGTTAAATATGATACAAATTTAAAATAATTGATAGATTTTCCGTCAAGACAAACCCCAAACTGAATGTGCTGTGAAGAATGACGAAACGTCGCAAATCCATTATATTGGAAAAATTCTCAAATGGAATATGATCGTAGAATATAAGATACCGAGAAACATCCTAACCGTGTCTACGACTGGAGGAAGCTACAAGATATACCTCCTACAGGGCACAGACCCTTAAACATGCTCATTTCTCAATCCATGGAATTGTGAGGCGAGACGCTGCAGCAGGTGAGTAATGTCCCTTACCACAGGAAGTAAGCTCGATGGAGCATCATCAGAAGCCTGAGAAAAGGCTTATAAAAGATCAAAATTGTATTTAAAAAACAATTAAAGCCTATGTGAAAGGATAAAAACACTCGCATCCTATTCTTACTTTATTGACAGATTAAAAATAAAACTGATCAATTCTGATAATTATATAGACAATCATAAATTACTAGGCCACTTCAAGTAAAGTTCACTGAAATGGCAATAGTACGGCACTGTACACCAACTCGCTCGTAATGTAGTTGATTTCGTTCTCGGTTCACAATCGGGGATCCCGGATTTGTTCCCCGGTAGGGAAAGTCTCCTTTCACCTAATGCTTCTGTTGACCTAGCAGTAAATAGGTATACCCGGGAGCTGGGCAACTATTTCATCCTCATGGGAGTCGGTAGTTCGACCTTGCGATACCACGATACAAGCCTAAAGTATATATATACATATACACAGGGTTCTTGTCCCCAACAAAACGAATTGAAGTCACTAGTATGGTAACTGTACACACCTACCCACTGCTAAAGTTTCACTAGCATGACCACCTCTCTCAACACTTTCAAGTTGTGCACTTCCATTAAGTGGGTGATAAAGCCACACATAAAGGAAGTGCAATAAATAACTCTTATTCTGTTATTTAAATGGACTTGTTAGCATGTGATGTACGTGAATTACAAACTGTTACAAAAAGTAACAAACATACAATTTGAAAAACACTATTAAACACAAGACACTTATGGCTTTGTTAGACTTAGTCAGGCCAACAGCTCTTCCGCAGTCACAATGTTAGTGGTGACACTACAGATCCATTAATTATAACAATTTTATAGATATAATTATAGATCCTGTCTTTGTAATTGCAGCTTCTTGATTGTGTTGCTGAAAGGTAATATACAACAGACTACCAACAATGAGTATATATTAATTCTGTATATAATAAAAAAAATGATTTTTATATATATATATACAATACACCGTCCATCCTCCTGTTTAGAGAGTACCTATTGTGACGCTCGTCAATAGTCACAAATTCGTACGTACTTAGCTTTTAGATAGTAGTATACTGACTAGTAAGGAATTCTTAAAAAAATGAAGCTAGAAAACACGTATTCCTAGGCTTAGTATAGCACAAATATGTACTATATTAGGCCTCAGATATCGTGTATTAGGCCTAGGAAAGTATCACTAAACCAAATCTAATACGAATTATTCTAATTTGTATACAGACACAGTCTCACTCTTAGTATACACTACCTTGATGCTTCCCATTTGCCATCATTAATACCTGCCCAAAAGGTAAATTTTCTGTTACACTTCGGTAGATAAAGGTTTACTCTATACTGCATTTTCTCTTCCATAGCTTTAGGAATGACCATTGTCCAAGAATAAACAGGGCGCCTTGGCCTAATCTCCGCCATAGGTCACTTGCCTTGTAGCTTAATACAAGAGCTAGTTCGAATACTCAAAGTACATCTTAACAAAAATATAAAACACATATACTATTCCACATTACAGACATTTTTGTACAATAAAGCACAAATAAAATAATGTTAGAATTAATTTTAGGTGTGAGTTTTGTTTGCACTGGCAGGTAACAAACTTACACAGAAAGTAACAAATAACTCGTATACAATAATAGAAACATTTACACCTGCAAGAATGTGGTAAGTGGTGCTGGTGGGAGCTCCTCCTCCATCTCCACCTGGACGGCTCTACAAATGGAGGCTTCGAACAGTAAGGAGTTTTCCTCCCCCTCTGGGTCACCCGGCGAGCATGCGAAGACTGAAGCTGGTTGAAGAGGAGGTAGGTCTGCCAGCGTGCAAGACTTAGAGGTTTCCATCGTGTCACGGAAGGTTGTGGGGGCATTTCTTGGTATAAAGATAAGCTCCATGTTCTGTCTTTGATCTGGTTTGAGTTGTTGATGATGGTAGCGGCAGTAGACGATAATGGCGACTATAGCGGCTAGGGTAACAAGGACTCCAATGGTGGCGGCAGCGACGAACTTCTTTGGTGCGGGATTCGGGACAAATGTTGTCTGCGATGGGCTGGTTAGGATCAGCGAGGATTGAGGTGACCAACTGGACGGAAGTGTCACTGCTGGTGGTGTGATTTGGTTTATAGTTAGGTTCTTTGTTGTTATTGGAATCTTGGCAGTTGTGATTGTAGATGGGGTTGTGGATGCAGTTGGAATTGCGGCAATAGTCGAGATCATTGTTGTGGTTGTAGCTAGTATCGCGGTGTGGGGCGGAAATGTGGTTGTTGTTGTAGTTGAGGCTGTGGTTGTTGATGGTGTTATGGTTGTGATTGATGCTTGTGGATGTTGTGCCTTTTTTGGTGGTAATAGTGTTGACGTTAGTGCAGTTGCTAGGGCTAGTTTTGTTGATATTAGGAGAGTTGTTAGTGGAAGTTTTGTCGATAGTGGTGGTGTTAATTTTGTTATTGGTTTTGGTGATGATAATGGTGCTAATTGTGTTCTTGGTGATGTAGCTGGTGTTGATGGCATTGGTAGGGCTTTTGGTGTAGATGATGTTGGTAGTGTTTTTGGTATTGGGGAGGCTTTTGGTGCAGGTGTTGTTGGTGGTAAGGCTTTTGTTGTTGGTGGTAAGGCTTTTGTTGTTGTTGGTGGTAAGGCTTTTGTTGTTGTTGGTGGTAAGGCTTTTGTTGTTGTTGGTGGTAAGGCTTTTGTTGTTGTTGGTGGTAAGGCTATTGTTGTTGTTGGTGGTAAGGCTTTTGTTGTTGTTGGTGGTAAGGCTTTTGTTGTTGTTGGTGGTAAGGCTTTTGTTGTTGTTGGTGGTAAGGCTATTGTTGGTGGTAAAGCTTTTGTTGTTGTTGGTGGTAAGGCTTTTGTTGTTGGTGGTGGTAAGGCTTTTGTTGTTGTTGGTGGTAAGGCTTTTGTTGTTGGTGGTGGTAAGGCTTTTGTTGTTGGTGGTGGTAAGGCTTTTGTTGTTGTTGGTGGTAAGGCTTTTGTTGTTGTTGGTGGTAAGGCTTTTGTTGTTGGTGGTGGTAAGGCTTTTGTTGTTGTTGGTGGTAAGGCTTTTGATGCAGGTGATGTTGACGTTAAAGCTTTTGGTGCAAGTGTTGCTGGTGGTGGTAGAGCTTCTAGTGCTTTTGGTGGCAATATTGTTGGTGTGGTAATGGTTGCCACGGAAGTTGTGAGTGTGTCCGTTGCACTTCCTTTTGATACAGAGGAAACCTCATCGTCCCTTCCTGACGAGGAAGCCACATTTGGAGAGGTCTTCATCGTTGGTTCGACCCGTTTCAAGGCACCGATGTGATCAGCGAATGTGGCTTCAACCGTCGACACAGCAAACGTGAGATTTTCTGCGTTACCCTCTCTGTTTATCAGTCCCAATGAGGCTGCAACTGTCTGCTTCATGACTTTAAACTCATTCAACGCCCCCACGACAGACTCACGGCCTGGAACATGCAGAAAGACAATATTAGTGTGTATAAATCTCTCAAATCCACGGCCAACACTAATCTGATATTACATCCTAAAGTCTAACACAGCCCCAAATACACGGAGAATAACTCGAAGGTTGGCCTACATGTATAAATTCGAAAGAGATTTTAAAATCCTAATGCACAACGTCACACTGTAGTCCATGAAGATTTATCCGTTTAGAGAGCATAGACTTCTGAATAGATCGTCTAAGCTCATGCAGATACACACTCAACAGTCCGGGAAGGTTCCCTTGCATTCTCTTTAGATAGGCTACGACCACTGGCGTCTTCACCGAGATTTTAACTATAAACGATCAGGCACACTATCATAAAGATAACTCACTTTCTTAAAGCTTGCTTACGTTGCTTAAGCTTATTTTACTGATGCTTACTTTGCTTCTGAATGTTACTTTCTTTGCTTACTTCCTTAAAGTTTACATACCTAATTTAAGTTTGATTACATTCCTAAAATATGATTAATTTGTTTATGCTTTTCCACTTTTGCTGGAGCTTACTTCGATCGAGTTCCCTGTTTTCACTCGTGATTACTTTGCCACTTACAAGAAAATAGAGCTTGGCCTCCGTTCACCCGAAGAACATTTTCCCGGGTGAAAAGGCACAGTCTCTCCTTGTTCACTGTGTTCTCAACACTGAACACCTTGACGTTATCGTCACTCGCGGAGATCTGGAGAGAACAAGGAGATATATATTTATAAGTTCTGTTATTACCCAACCCACCTGCAAATGTACTCAAATAGATCCAACTCCAATTTTCATTATGTAAATAAA